TATGATTTGATTGAGAAGGAGGAGCGGGAATTGAACGACAATTTTTGTATCCCAAATAGAATTGAATGGAAATTTATACCACCGGCGTCTCCTCATATGGGAGGTCTATGGGAGCAGGCGTGAAATCATGTAAATTTCACATAAAGCGAGTTATAGGAGAGAATTTATTAACATTTGAGGAATTAAACACAATTCTAGTTCAAATCGAGGCGTGCTTAAACTCACGCCCGATTTGTTAATTACCTTCAACAGCCGCGGACTTGCAACCGCTTACACCAGGACATTTTTTAATTGGTGGTCCAATGACCGCTCTCCCCAACATTAACATAACCGAACTATCTACAAATCGCCTCGATCGCTGGCAGACCGTTCAAAAAATCACCCAATTATTTTGGAAAAGATGGAGTAAGGAATATCTAACATCTCTGCAAGGTAGAATTAAATGGACTCGCGAACAAATTAATTTAAGCATTAACGACATTGTAATAATACAGGACAATAACGCGCCACCACTGAAGTGGAGGCTAGGACGAGTATCGAATTACATAAAGGAACAGATGATAAGGTGCGAGTCGTTACGTTACAGACAGCGAAGGGAACATGTAAAAGAGCTATAAACAAATTGTGCAAACTTCCGCTCTCTGATGTGTTATTTAATCATAAGGATGAGGATTAATTGTTATTAATGGTAGGCGGGATGTTGACTGTATTGTAGAATTAGGGAACGAGCGAGAGATAGCGCGCGGTAATCATATGCTAGCCTCTCGTTCACCGCCTACAAGGTGGGTGAAACTCGCGAAATTCTCTAAGAGAAGACCGAATATCAGGCAGTATGTGTCGATACACCTCTCAAAGCACACCATTTTCATTAGTCGTTACCGAGCATAGTGTATAATAATTTATCATATTAATTTTATATTATATGGAACTGCGTGTAAAATCTATAGTAAATTCAGTTAAACTTATTATCGTTCATTTATTTGTGACACGAATATCTCAAGACATATAATTAATTATTGGAGAAAGGGCGATGTTTCGTTCTAGGTATTGCCCTCCATCGTAGTACTCAATAAATTATATCTAATAAAATCAGCGTTTTATCACTCGCAAAATTAAACAAAAAACATATTTAATATTTCTAATAGCTACAGTTTTAAAGGATATTTTTTATATTTAATTTTTTTTATTATTTCTAAGAAAAAATAAAAAAAATTAAATTTTTATTTATCCTTTTATTATTTTCAAAGAAAAATATAAAAACTTAAAAGCATTTAATGTAAAAGATAGATCTATTTGGACACATACAGATCTGATAATTATATCCCCCTTCGTATGCAGATAGAGAATGGTTTAAATCAAATAAGGAAGTTCTCTATCATTTTATGTGATTTTTAAAATAATTAATGAAAAATTAATTAACAAAAAACCGATGCGAAAATAGATGCGCAATGAAAAAAAATATTCCAAAAAATGTTACGGAATTTCTAAACAATACATTATTAAATTTAATTATTAATTGAGTATTGATTGATTGATTATTAATCCCAATGTTTAATCGTATATTATTCCAGTTCTGTCCAAAACTCTACCTGTAGATCAGACGTGATATGGTTATTATCAGACACTACATATATACATTATACTGACCTTGACAGTTTGCCCTTTTCACTTTTTAAGGTATAATTATGCAATGTAAATTGTACATTTTACATTTAAATCAATATATCATACATAAATGTAAAGTTCATCGAAACATTATCGAAGAATCGTGAATTTAATTAGATCAAAGTAAATACAATAGTACAATTGCAATATTATTGTACATTTTTATTACATTGTAATATTATTTTATTTATATATTTATTAATATTATTGTAATATTATTACGTTCTAAGTGTGTTCGTTATTTGGATGAAAGATGCAATTTTTGTTCAAAACTGGCGTGAAAAATGAACAATATAAAATATAAATTTATATCTTACATATATTTTTTTATATATACTAGAACATTACAAAACGCCACGCCATTAAATTTTTTTGCTATGTAATATAATATAAGAAAATACACGGAAAAAAAACCAACTAAAAATTTTGATAGCTCAGCAAATCTACATCCGAGATACATGGACAACTAGTCTTCTATGTTACAGTAACCAAGTTTCAAAGCTCTATAAAATAATGATTATAACTGAGAGTAAGATAACATAGCATATAGCAAAGATGACTTTTTAATTAATTCAATCCAAAATATGGTTTAAATTTCAAATAATGTATATTTGTCGAAGTAACATAGATTTTTGCTGCTTTATTACAATTGATATATTAACAATCCTTATTATAGCAAAGGATTAATTGTTGTATCAATATAATATAAAAAAACTTGAAACAATAATATTTATTAAAAATTTTAATTTATTTCTATTTTTTTTAATATGAGAAATAAAGAAAATATAATAAATATTTCCCTAACAATACATATATATATATATATATATATATATATATATATATATATATATATCGTGACCGGATATATTTCGAATGCAAAGATTGAACGATAAATAAATCCTAAAAGATCGTTTCTTGATAGAGAGCTAATTAACCTAATCGATCATCCGTCTTCGTTAATAACTACCGTATCTAAACCGCGTATATTTAATTGTATTAGTGCCGCCTCGTAACTTCGATCAAATATAAAGCGTTGGCGGAATCGTCGGAACAAACAGTTGAGAGAAGGGTTAATCTGTAACAGAATCCATTATTGGCGGTCATTATTCCCCGATTCCCGAAATCGCACAGGGTCCCATCCCGAGTAAAAGAGATTCGATTCTCTTATCGAAAAGGGACCAAGCGTAACAGCCTAGGACATTCACAGAATTAAAGGGATCATTCTGATTATTAACCTGTGCTAGGCCCCTGACAGTGCGCTCGACCCGATTCGTACGCACGCCTGCAAAGTGTGTCACCGGATAAGTAGGTTGCGTCCTTCCAAATGGGCCTTTCAAGGATTTGGACGTAACACTATTTTGTAAATTTATAAATGTTAACACACAATTGTAATTTTCTTTCTAAGCTTTTTTATATTTTGTTTTAGAGCTTTTTCCTTCATTTCAAATTGTACATATGTACATATATCATTGCTGTGGAGGGAATAAATTTTTATAAATTTATAAAATATTTGAAAATACGTCTATTTTTATGCATGAATTTAAACAGAGACCATTATATAAATACTTGTTTAATTATTCTTAGTTATTCTTAACACAGAATTATTCTTTTTATTCTTAGCAGAATGTTTCTTTAATAATATAAAAATATTTTTAAAATAAAAATGTTGTATATCATTTAATATATGAATGGACTGAATAGGAAAAAAGGAGACCGGAGCATTACAAAATTATTTTCAATCACATTTCACGTAATTAAAGTGTTTATCACTTTTTTGGAAAAAGTAATTGATTTATAGCGAGAGGAAGAGAGAATTTGATTGGATGCACTAATTCGCATTGGAGCATATAAAAATTGTCGTATAAAAAATTACAATAGTATAATTAAAATAATAAAGTAATTAATTTTATACGTTTTTTATATTATATTATATATTATATTAAGTATATTATGTTAAGTAATAAAATTAATATTAAGTAAAGTTATACATATTATATACGTATTATGTTAAAAGTTATTCATTATTAAGTTATTATGTATAAAGTTATTCAATGCAAATAATAATACATTATACAATTATTTTATTTATTTTATTTATTTATTGCTATTGGATATTTGTATTTATTTATAAAATATTAGATTTATATTAAAAATTATATTTATACTAGAACTACGAGATTTATACTAAGAACACTACGTATTGATTTAAACTGCATCATATGAATGTCATAGAAAACGTATAAATTACTTTTTTAAGTCAATTATTACTTTTCTTATAATCAGAATATTTTTTTATATAGTAAACGTGCCTCTTATGCCAAAGAGAAGATACTCAGAAATAAATTAATATAAAAAGTTTATATTATAATAAAATTCATTAAACAATTATATATACATATAATTATTTTTATTTATACATAGAACTATTTTTGTACATAGAACTATTTTTATACATATATAACTTTTTTGTCAAACAATTTGTAAAGATTTTAATTCTTTTTGAAATAACGCGAGTATCTCCGCAGAGAAAAATAAATTACAACGGAATGCAGCTAATAAAACGTCATGGCAACACATGATCAGATTGATCACGTGTTGCCATGACGTTTTATTAGTTGTATTCCGTTGTAATTTATTTTTCTCTGATCATTCGAAGTCAGTTACTATTCTGATCGTTAGCCAAACACACTACCGCGTATCGTCTGATTCAAACTGCATCATATGAATATCAAAAAAAATTGTGTACAAACAGTGGATTTTGAAAAGCATACATAGTAACACAATTGTATATAGTATAACACAATCGTCCGAACGAATTGCTATAATTACATATTTAATAAGACCAAAGATATAGAAATATTTAAGTGAATTCGATTACACGCTGCGTGTGCTTGAATATGGCTAAAAATGTTATAAGATCTATCATTCTATAACTTCTTTGATCGTTTGTAATTTGATTGTGGTTTTTTTACCGACATTTTTCTACTATAATATTAATGAAAAAGGAAAGCTGATAATCATTATATTCCTTTATTCGCGATACAATTCAGTGAATATATACCATTTTGTATTGTTATTTGTTCTCTTAAAAAAATAGAAATTATGTACTTACTAAAGAATTCTCTAATTTAATTTTAAAATATATACTGTGATCGTGAACATAAACAGAAATCTGAAAACATAATATTAAAAGCTAATAACTTGCAATTCGTTAAAACTGAGTCTTATGGAATTTACCGAAAATATATGTGTATATGTATATATATGTATATATATGTATATATATGAATTAATATCAATTAGATTAACACATCAGAATTAGTAAAGTAAGAAAAACTACAAATTGAAGATTCAACGGAAACCGATTAAGTGCAAACGTTTACGAAACATGCAAATTATGTTGCGAACAATTTTATGTGTTTTATTGAAAGGCTTATTGCTGACAAAGGCAATTATCACTTTTATACCGAAGGGTTGTACCCCTTCAAAGAGTCTCCAGGAAGATAGTGTTTCCAAGTATCCGGATTTTAATTTCGCAGGTAAAAGATGTTTTTCTCTTGATCAAGAAACAATTGAATGTTATTGCAGCTAGTAGTGTGACTAAAAATGAATGATAATAAATTATATATTTTATCTATATTCCTGTCCAGGAGGATATTTAATTATATGCACATATTCTTATCGAGGCATTATCGGTTTATACTATTGGTTTATATTTATTATTTCCCGGATTTGTTTGTTAAAAAAATAACGACAATCGAAAAAACTTGACAAGGTTATAAATAAAAGAATTTATATAATTCTATGACTAATATTTAATAACTGTAAAGAAACAATATTTTTAATCTTTTTATTCTTGGAGTACAAACATTAGTAATATCGGCAAATATCGGTTAAAAAGAAATATGAGTTACTACTGGAAGATATTTTTCCTTTTTTCGTGACAAAGAATCAAATCGTTAGACAACATTGTTTTAATAATTGCAAAGAGCTACACTTTCGCTTGTATTACTTGATAAAAACTGTTATGAATCCTTATTGACACTCGTTAACCTATTGATTGATTTTCTTTTTGACATGAGTTATGTTTGATTTACAAGAAGCCTTGAAAAAATAAATAAAAAAATAGATTTTATGATATGAATAAAACTACATTCAATTTATATCATTTAGGAATGATATACATCAAACCGATATTATTAAGCAAACAAAGAACAAATGGCAATTTTAATTTTATAATTTATATAATTTATCATTAAAAGCACCAAAAACAACCGTTTCAACGATATTCACTTAATTCTTTTCATATGTTATACTTTATGAAGGATATTTCAATGTCCGAAAAAAGTGATCATCATATACTAAATTTCAAATCTGACCGGAGTCTTTTTGATAATACTGTAAGAAATGAGCGAGAAGTCGATGAAGTTATGCTAGCAAATATTTCTATCATTCCTGAATCTATCGGTAAATTGCAAAAAAATGCATAAAACGTTAATAACAAAATTTATGATGCAAAAGTTTAAATATAATTTAAATTCAAGAGAGAGTGGAAATCAAATCTAAAAATATCTTTCAGTAATGAGAAGAATATAAATTCTAATTCGGTCCAAAAAAGAAATAGAAAAGCATAATATAAACATGACATTGTACATAAAAATTGTCATAATTTAAGGTAAAGTCAATTTTATTAATTTGCTACTCTGTTTTAAAGCAATGGCAATTATACTTCTAATTTCTTAAGCTGTAGAAATTTTTCGAAAAGTACTTTATTAAAAGTTATCTATTCGTTTTTGCCATGAATTAATGATTACTTTTTTAAATCTTAAATGATGCAAAAAATTCTTTTATTATGTTTTTAAAGGTCAAGGTGTTGTAATTTCCATATTTTGTAGTTTACATTTATTTTTCCTCTTTCTTTAATTTTCACATTAAATTGTTTTTTTTTCTGATTTACTGAGATAATCCTCTTAATCTTATATGTAATTAGGTTAATATGTACGATCTTAATTCTCTAGAAAGCAGTTTGAGCAAGCCAACATCTCTCAGAGCATTTGTACAATTCGACAGTCAATTCACAGAAAAAATTAACGACATTTTTGTGACATTGAGGTAAGGAATCTAAATTCTCAGTTTCTATTCTTTCATTTTTCTCTCTTTTTATTAAATTCAACGACATAAATATATCAAAATGTTAATTCTGTTATAATTTTGTTAAATATAAAAAAGCTAAAATTTTTATTTTTTTACAGATGGAACCAACCTAAATTACCCGATAAAATAATACAAGGGTACCAAGTGCAGTGTTCTTTCTTCGAAAACTTTAAAGAAACCTGCGACAATAAAAATATCACAACTACAAAATTGGAGCACACGGTGCACAATCTAACATCTAACATGACATATTATTTTCGAGTACGTGCTACTATTCGAGTACATACTAAAATTTATGTTGGTCCTTACACGGATTTAATCAATGTGTCGACTACACATGAAAATACAATACCTAAATTATTACTCACAACGAATCAAAGTATCCAAATATTCGACGTGGATTTAAATAGTACTAGTACTTTTGTTATGTCAGAGTACGTATACTAATAAAAAAAATAGTTATAATTATCATAAATTATTTTTAAGACTAACTATAAAATTAAAATTATTATTATTATGCACAAGTTTATTATTATCAACATTATAATAATGACCATAAAATTAGAAATCTCAACTGAAATTTTTTACTATACAATTATAGTTCCTTTTGTTAGATTAATAGAATATAGCTCCTTTTTTCAGATCAATAACGGCTATCGATTATTCCATACAAGAAAATAGAATTTATTGGTTAACACGAGCAGACCTAATGACTTGGAAGGTTAATGAAAATAATATCACAAAAATAGCTAGCTTTGATAGTAATCTATATCATCTCTGCATTGACTGGATAACAAGAAATCTATATTTTACACTTCGAGAGTCAGGCTACTCTTATATTGTAAAGTTCGACTTAACAATATGGGAAAATATGGGTATGATTAAATTTGATAAGATTTGGAAATCAGAATTTGATTATTACGGTATATATCTATTACCGTCTATGCGGTAAGTTTACTACCGTTTACCTAAAAAATAATTTTCCAGTAAAGATTTATGCAAATTTGTAATTTTTCTATAATTTTACATGGTTTTGTAATTAAGATCATAAAAAAATAATAAGTTATATAATTATAAAAATTTCAAATTTTTACTACATATAAGTTTCTGTTTTTTTTTTAAGATAATATTTTATAATGATTAAAATAATTATATACTTTTTAGAATTTTATATTTACTATCATACAATTTGATGAATAATGTATATGATATGATTCAATATGATCTTGATGGAAAAAATCAGCAAATTCTTCATATAAATTCATCCTTTTGCCTATTTAATCGTATGGATTATTATATTTATATGTTTGATTATATGAATAATAAGGAGCCGTTAATATACTGGATAAATACTGATCACGTAGTTGTGACAGACATTAACATTTCTATGTGCAATAATATTTTACACAAGAACAACATAAATGATATCACCGGATTCCAATCTATGGCGATTGACAAAACAAATATTTACATTTTAGCAAATAAATTAGTTTATGAAGCTCGCTATATATACTATATGTACGTTTTGAAAAAGAAGTATGCAAGTCTCAAGAGCGTAAATGCAACCGAATATGTTAAAGAGATAAAATTATTTGAAAATTTACGCCTTTATGGAATGCGCGCTTTTGATAAATCTTTACAACCATATCCTCCAATGAGATGCCTGACACCTGACAAAAATGTTTATAATTTTAAGAATGTGACTGTCACGACATCAAACAGGATCATTGTAAATCTTCCAAAACCGATTGTAAAGAGTGGATGCAAAAAGTATAATTTACCAACTACTATATATACTATCTTCGTAAGCTGTTTAAACAATAATCTCAACAAGTCTGAGAAATTCAATGTACAGACGTACAAGCGATATTACGAAATTCAGAACTTAATACCATTTACAGAGTACAAGTTGAAGTTTACTTTAAGCAATTTTTACTTTGATCAATTATCAATAAATCCATTCGAATCGAAAGTGATACCAATAAAAACTAATTCGAGCAAACTTAATGCACCAGAAAACATAAGTGTTCTAGGTTTGACGCCTACTATAGCAGTAGTTCATTGGATGCCACTCAAGAAAGTGTACTGCGCGGCCGTGACCTACGAAGTGCATTGGGAGTCTGTTACATTAGTGAACGGCACACAACAAAAGGCACACAACAAACAATTTATCAATATGCCGAAACGTATGGCAGATGGAAGATTTTTCACAAAGATTAACTTGTCGCTTTCAGTAGAAGATTACTTAATATACATGCGTGTATATCCAAGTAATTTCAGCAATTTCTACAACGAGAGTTTAAGCGAGTTCAATCAAATATACTCAGAACCAAATAACATTACTTTGAGTGAGGCCAACATAAATAGCATGAACATTTCATGGATTTCAAACATTAATCTGATGGTTTTTCCTACACTAGAGTACAAAGTCATTGTAACAGAAAAATGGCAAACAATGAATTATACTAAAATGAATTATAACAAAGAAATAATATATCATGTCGAAAATTTACAATCAGAAACTTTATACAAGTTTCGCTTGATATTGAGATACCCCGAATATGAGGAAAATTTTATATGGCCGGCTGATGAAAGATTTATTTTTTCAACACGTGGTACCAATCGTGGTAAGCAAGTGAAAATATCCATACAGCACAATAAGATTGCGGACATATTGAAGAATAATTTCATTAAAACATTGCAATATTGCAAATCGATTGCAAAACTCTGCTGAGTTATTATTATAAGATTGTGACAACGTTAAGATGTTTGCTTTTTGTAATATTGCAATGAAATATATATTATAGCAACATTACAGTGGAATATATTTAAAAGAATGCAATGTTATTTGCAACCATTTAATAATATTACGTATAAAATATTTTTGTTTCTGACAAAAATAAAAATTAAGTTAAAAAGTTTGATATAAATAAAAGTTTCCAACGATTTCGTACTTAATGTTATATATATAGGGTAGACCATTTTAATCAATATACGCGAATATCTCAGAAACACTGGATTAAATCGAAAAATGTTTCAGACAAAAGTTGTATGGCTTGAAGAGGGACATGAGATGGCCATTAGTTTGCCATTAGAATGCCATTAGTTTGAAAAAACATAATTATTTTTGAGAAAAAATATGTAATTATTAATTGCAAATTACATATTTTTTCTCCGAAGCAATTATGTTGTGTTTTCTTTACATCAATCGATTTCTCACATTATATTGTGTATAAGTGTAAAGTGTATAAGTGTATAAGTCACATTATATTGTGTTAAGGTAAAATAATCGAAAAATGAATATTTTACTAGATATTTTATAGTTTATGTAAAATTAAGATATTATTTTAAGCCTCATAACTCGAAAAGTACTAAATGAAAAAATACTTTACTCTAGTGTTTTGGAAAGCTCTTGAGGCAAGCTATAAAAATATGCAAAAGTATAGGGTAAGTAGTAGGGTATCCCATTTAAAAAGTTGGAAATGACCTTTATGTGATCTTCAGGTGACTCTTTAAGGTCAAATTAATGGCACCATCTTATGTCCCCTTCAAAGCCATACAACTTTTGTTTGAAACATTTTTCGATTTTATGCAATGTTTTTAAGATATTCGCGTGTATTGATTAAAATGATCTACCTTACACACACACACACACACACACACACGCACACACACGCACACACACACGCACGCACGCACGCACGCACGCACGCACGCACGCACACGCACACGCACACGCACACGCACACGCACACGCACATGCACACGCACGCGCGTGTATATATATATATATGTATATGAGTATATACATATATATATATATATATTTTTTTTAAATTACACTAAAAGAATAGATAATATTTTATCTAATATTATAATTTTTTATTTTCATTTTTCGATGCATTTTTATCTATATTTCACATACAAGTATATGTAACTGTATTTTTTAAATTTTTCAAATAAAATTATAATTAGTTATAAATGTATAATTAATTCCAATTAATGTTTATATATTTGTATTCCATTATAACAGTATATAGAACATTTAAAGTAAAAAAACTTTTACTTATACAAATCATTTTTTTTTATTTTAAATGTTCTATATACTGTTATAATGGGATACAAATATATACACATCAATTGGAATTAATTATACATTTATAACTAATTATAATTTTATTTGAAAAATTAAAAAAATACAGTTACATATACTTGTATGTGAAATATAGATAAAAATGCATTGAAAAATGAAAATAAAAAATTATGTTAGATAAAATATTACCTATCCTATTAGTGTAATTTAAAAAATATATCTTTAAAAAAGTATAACAACACTGTGAGTCAAGTGTGTGTGTATTTTCGAAAAAAAACGTAATATATATCTAAAAAAATAGAATTCTCAAATATTATAAATATATCGATATTTCAGCTTTTCATGGCTACCATTTTGAATCTGTCATTATGAATTTAAATTTTAATAGTAAATTTACAATCAACACATTCAAGAATCTATAAAATTGTTTCATATCAAACATATCTTTTTTCGAAAGCCGGAGGTGCGAAAAAGTTGAAGAGTGTTATAGTTTTCTTAAAATGTTTCTAAAATATAAATATATCATATGGCTAATGTCTAATTCATATTTTGTTGATTTATATTTTTACAATGTTTCCGCAATGTGGCATTGCAATTTGTAATTTTGCAACATTGTTGCAAAGCTGTAATATTTTGTGGTGTATGGATGTTATAATATGCTTATTTTTTTATATATGAACAGACTTACAAAATTTAAAAAATTAATTTATTAATTTATTATTAATTTATTATTAATTGATTTATAATAACGTTATTAGTAGAAATAAATTTTTAAATAAAACGCACACACGAAAATATTAAAATTATATTTTTGCATAATAGATGATATTTCGAATACTCCTGGAATAACAGAAACAAAATATTATAAATATTATCTACCATTGATGTTAAGTTTTATCGTTATAGTTACTATAATCTGCGTCTACTGCTTTTATTGTTGTAAGTATTGTATATTTCACTTAGATATCGACCTGAATTGTAGATTATACATCTAATATAATATCATATATCTAATATAATAATATATCTAATATAGATATAATATCTAAAAATTTCCTAATAATATATTTAATATAGAAATTTCCTAATAATATATCTAATATAGATATAATATCTAAAAATTTCCTGAAAATAATAATTTACTTATATAACTAAACGAATAAATTTACTAAAAAACACCGTAAATTTTATAACACATATTATTACATAATTAAATACACAATTATTACATAATTAAATCGAATTTTATAACAGTGTATCGTCAACGCAGAGGTCATAATGAACAATTTTTGTCTTCAACAATGAACGATACAGAATTGGCGATTCTACATGAAGTACCTTGCCGAAACATTCAATTTAATATGATTTACAGTACTATGTTACATTATAACCCAGATAAATGTGGGGTAACTGGAGTCGCACGTAAACAAATTACATTTACAAAACTTCTTGGTAGCGGCGCATTCGGAAAGGTAAAAATTAATTTTCTCAAGCCATGTGTTTCAAATTAATTTATGGATCAACAAAACAGAGATGTATTTTCTAATAAAGTTATAAATTACATGAATTTTTATAATAGATTTTAAGTAATGTAAAATTTAGATAAGACGACAAACATGACACTTTATTATATATTTTTCGTTGAATTATATATATAATATTATAATATGAAGTAAAATATAATATGAAGTAAAATATAACGTTACTTGACATTAAACTATATACATTTTCTAATGAAGTACACATGTAAATTTGTGTGAAATATTTCGCAGGTGTTTCAAGGAAATGTAAAGAACTTAGAAAAATCGGGCACAGAAATACCCGTTGCAATAAAAATGATTCGGAAAGACGCTTCTTCCCATGAAAAAAAGAAATTTTTAAAGGAAGCCGAGCTTATGAATCAATTTCGACACAAACATATATTAAGATTGTTGGCCGTTTGTTTAGAAGGGGATTCTCCGTTACTAGTGTTGGAATTGATGAAAACTGATCTGTTAAAATATTTGAGAGATTGTCGAAATTTGCAAGCATCAGATTCGCCTGCTCTGCGTTTGCAGGATTTGCTCGCTATGTGCGAAGATGTTGCGCGAGGTTGTTGCTACTTGGAAGAGTTACGTTTTGTACACAGAGATCTAGCGTGTCGCAATTGTTTAGTATCTTCGAGAAATCGCGAGAATCGTGTCATAAAAATTGGAGATTTTGGACTGGCTAGAGATATCTACAAGGATGATTATTATCGCGTGGTAAATACAATTATTAAAAAAAATTAATGATTAAAAAATGAATTCTTTTGAATATACTTTCAATTTTTTATCATAATAGTATCGTGCATTGTTTCTTGAAGTAATATAGAAAGTAAATAGTTTTTATTTATATAAAGCAAGAGACATGAACGTTTTTGAGTTTGAACATATTCTAAAAAGAAACAACTTGAATCAGAAAATTAAATTTTTGTTAAAATCATGTTTTAGAAAGGAGAAGGTTTGTTTCCTATTCGCTGGATGGCACCCGAATCTTTGATGATGGGATTATTTACTTCTCAAAGCGATGTTTGGTCATTTGGGGTACTAATGTGGGAAATTACATCGTTGGGTGAGCAACCTTATATTGCCAAGACTGACGAAGGAGTGATAAATTATGTACGTGCTGGAGGCAAGTTGTCGATGACTCTTAACTGTCCGCCAACGTTGTACCAATTGATGATGCGTTGCTGGAGTACAGCGGATGCCAGACCAAATTTTAAACATTGTCTGAAAAATATTATAGCATTAAGAGAGAACATGGAAGATGCCTTACTGAGTCCAGTCGATATTATTTAGCCGATATAATTAAAATAATGTTTATCTTTTTTTACGAACGATTCAATAAATCTTAATAAATTCGTAAGAAAAATATTTATAGAATATTTCTAAATTAATTGTTATTTTCAGATTTAATCTTAAATATTAGATTTATTAATGAAGATAAAAGACATTTTTCAATCTTGCCTTTCGAAAATTTTGATTATTAAAAAATATCATTTTTTATCCCACATAACACATGTATGTCCTTCGGGCATCCATAGGACGTCTCGTTCGGCATGCTCTGACGTCCTGATGACGTACCAAAGATGTCCCGAGGACGTCTAGCAAACGTCTTTTGGACGTACAATGTACCGCCTTTAGATGTCCAATGGACATTGTTAAAACGTCTGGACAGTACGTAAAATGTACTTTTTATGGACATTGTTTGGATATATATTGTGCACTGCGCGATTAAGAATTTGTTTAGTAAAAAATAATATTTGTCACAGTAAAAGTAGTGTTAATATTCTCAAATAATGCTTGTACAAGAACATAAATAATACTACTTTTAAGTAGAATATCATTTTTTACTAAACAAGTTTTGAATCATGCATAAATATATTGTCAAAAAAAACAGGAATTATTTTACAAGCAGTTTTTATTATTAGTTACTTGAATTAAGAAATTATATTTCAAAAATATAATTCACTGATGATATATTTGTCAGATAAACAAATACATTAAAGCAATGTATTAAAATCTATTCAGTCATTAATATTTCGGTTTTTTGGAATGCGATCATTTGCTCGCCTGAACCAATCGATAATTTTTGTTTCAATGTCTCGATCGTCATAATTTTTGTAGCGCAGTTTTATAACAGCTGTAAATAGAAAATCACATATTGAAAATACATAATAATTACTCTTCTTACATTTAAGTATAAATATTTTTTAAACAAAAATATTAATAGTGAAAATAATAACTGAAATTAATAACAATAACGAGAAAAATCAAGCCATAGAAAAATATTTATGTAATTTACCAAATATTGTACGCGCCACTATAGTGCCTTCCAGCCTCTTATTCTGTTTTCGCCCAAGCCACGAAACTCTAACCGCTAATTCGTTGGAAAACAGCTTTGACAGGATGCGTCGAATGAACTCGCTCGGGTCTCGTCCCCCACGCTTAAATAGCATTTTTTCCTTACATAAAAAAATAAACAAAGGTTGATATGAAAGGTTGATATTTGCTTACTGAAATTATAATTTGAAATAATTGCTTTAAAAAATTATTAATATATAATTGTATTATAAATTATAATTGTTTATAACAATTTAATTTTTTTTAAACAATTATTTAGAACTATAACTTGTATTTGCTCTATGAAAATAGAAATAAACTGTCACAATGATAATTAACATCTATTAACTGAAATATGCTGCATATACTTACAAGTTGTCTATTAGCAACTTCATTTGAATGCAGTAAATTTTCTAAATCACAGAAATGTTGCCAGTTTTGCAGTGGGAACACTGGTAGAATATTGTCATCTGGCGGTTTCTCATTTTGTTTCATAGGGATGACTTCTTGTTTGTCAGACAAGTTAAGAGATAAATTAGTAATCATTTCCGCTATTCTACGCAATTCAAATTTCATCATTGTCAGATCACGAACTACTTGTTTCTCGAATTCTATTTAAAAAATTATAATTATAAAATATACATATAACTTTGAAATAAAAATATTTATATATAAAAAATATGATCACGTAAGTCAGAACAGTAACATAATACCTGACTGTCCAGTATATTGGGATTTTTTTTCATTTTCATACGTTTCAATTCCTTTAGTAAGTTGAACATCCAATTTCTTAATTTGAACTTGATCCTCTAAATTGCACTGAGGTAAAGTTTCATATAAACTAACTAAAAATCATAATAATTTACTAATTTTTATCAGAATATTAAAAAGTTGAGATATTTTACAGTTAAAATTTGCATATTTAACATCTATGGCAAGCCTTTCATGAAAAAAAAGCTACTTTCATCATCCAAATAAAAAATCTCATCTCTCCTCTTTGCCCGAAATAGTGACTTGTACCTTTATCAAATAAATTTGAACTAATAATTAAATGTTCGCTTTAATCCAGGTAAGTTTCTTGGAAAGTACCGTAAATAAAAAAATTGTTTTAATTTATCGTAATATCAATACTATATTTTATTTAATGTAAGTTTTAAAAGTAGTATGGTTACTCTAATTCCTGTTTGAAGATATATTTAAATATCAGATTGAAATTCAAAACCAAGTTATTATGTCTATGTTATTATGTTGCGCGATGATAAGCCAGATAAAATTTGTTTCATTACTCCATACTCGTTTTTCCATACTCGTTTCAGAAATAAAGAGACATTTTAATAATAAAAGAGCTTAAAAATAAGAAAATTATAGATTTTCACCGAAACTTTTTAGATTAGATATTCCACTATGTGTAATAAAGCTATTAAAAATGTAAAATAGTAAAAAAAAAATTACCTTTCTTATATTGATTCTGATTCTTGTAGGTAGGCAACGACAATGAACGTATGCCACTTTTTGTTGGTTGCGGAGCAGAAACTTTGTTTAAAATTCGCTGTGATTTTTTTTGAAGTTTTTGTGGTATCGGCAGAATGACCGTATCCTTTCATAGTAGAGAAATCATTTTCTTCGCTCTTAGATAAATTTGAGCTACTCGACGATTTTTGATTGCTGTTGCAAATATTTTTTTTGCGATTTTTGGCGACATACATTTTTTGATTTCATGCTGTCTTCCTGGGAATCTGATGATTCTGTAAAATATTTTTTATTTTTTTTATGTTGTCGTTTACTGACAACTTCTTCCTCGCCTTCACTAGGAAAATCCGAGGTTAATTCGGCTAATCGTAAATTTCGCCGAGCTGTTTCATAATCATCTAAAATAATATCATATTTTTATTTTATTTTTATTTGATTGAATCATATTTGTGCAATTAGAAATAAAATGAATATTAGTACTAAATTAATAAAAGTTTGTTTTTGAATGTAATATATACAAAATCTTATAGAATTGGTAATCTTCCAAGAAATGAGGAGTCTTCCTTTTCTTGCTTTTAGATTTTCATAACAGATGCTTCAGTTTATTTTTTTGCAAATTCATATAAGATTCCTCGTATTTCATTTTTCAAGCAATATTCCATATTATGTTTAGGCCACCAATTCACTAATAATCTGTATATTATATCGAGTCGCAATTGGGGATTATAATGTATATTCCCAGTAAATAGGAAGTGACAGTAATATAACAATGTTCTAATTTCAATGTTATAACTTCTCACTCAATAGTGTAACTTATGTACATATTACATCGCAGTTACATTGTTGAATGGGAAATTATAACATTGATGTTATGTTACTGTTACTTTGTGTTTACTGGGTTTCAAATAGATGTGAAAAATATTGATATTATTATATAACTTCCCCATTTTACTTAATATGTGAAATATATTTTTAATTAAATCTAAATAATATGCTAAAATTGAAGATATGTATTGTAAAAGCAACTTTTCAAATATAACGATAGAATGAGGAACTTTAATCATAAAATAAAAATAAAAATTTCAGAAATAGAACTATATACTAAGTACTACATACCAAAAGTATTCAGAATCCTGCATTTCTCATTTGGCACCGTCCTATTTTTAACACATTTGGTCGGGAACATAACATCACGTGGCGGCCAGAAGCTGAAGTCCTCATATATCCAAAAATTAGGTACAACCTCCACACTTTTATCGTCCGTAAAATTGACGATAAAAAATTTGGAAGACATCTGTAGATTCATAATGATAATATACATTTTTTATATTAATTGTGTCCATGGATGAGAGGAAACGCCACAACATTTTTATGACAGCCTTTAGTTTGGTTGGATGGATCAAAAATCGGTAAAAGAACAGCTTTATTTTTTATATCATGAATTGAGAATACTTGTAAGCTACCATATTCTGGGGAAAATTGTACAATGCCAAAACACGTCGACGGCACTGGCAAATGAAAAAAAGGTTTCCCGTCTTTCAACTTTCTGCCAATAATTACTGCAACATTGTTGAGGTGACATATATTTTCAACCATCACGACACTTTCATCACGCATGATACAATAATTATTTGGCCTTTTTATCGTAATTTTATAATTCCTGAACTGTACATCCCTGTGCATTGGTGATGTGCATTTGTCTATTAATGTTCCATTAAAATATTCTTTTCCAAGTTTATATGTGCTAATATCATTAAAAGTGACATAGCGACTATTTCTCATTTCATGCACTCTATTGCTTAATTGTTCAAGAGGTTTATCATTACCTCTTACCAATTTCTTTATATGCTGCAAATGATTTTCGAATGTGAATGCCGAAAAATTATCGAGTGCTCCCCATCGCAATGCATCATCTGCTAAGTGCAGCATTCCGTGCATATTATATGTTGCATTTTCCTCTCCGTATAATTGTAGATATTCAATAAAATATTCGTCTATTAATCCTTTGGCAAATCTGTTTTGCTCGTAGTCAATAGCAGGAGTTGCTAAAAGACGCATAGCCATAGATAGTTTTAGAAAATGATTATAAACGTTTGACCTTATTATTTTGCGCAAAATAATGGGTCCGGTATAAAACAGATATTCACGAAATTCTGTTGCCTTCATTCGGTCCAGTTCATCCAAAGCTCGTGGTTTACGGGCAAATTCACACGGAATATGTTGTCGGAGTTGAATATTTCTTTCGGAAATATCCAAAATCTGCTGTACACCTAACTTCATCGGATTCAACTTTCCAGTCATTATCTTCAATCCTCTTTTGATGTGGCCTAATAGCACCAAATGCATGTAATCATACGGTATTTGAGAAATCATATTGATATTGAGCCTCAACAAGGGACTTACGCCAATATGATGTTGTGATTGAGACTGAGTAATAAATGATTCCGCCGTTCGTAACGGAGCGTTAATTTCTGGATAAACCACTTTCCCCCCAATAAACTTGCCTTTGGTTTCACATTTGCCACATGCATAATATCCCCCGTGGCTTTTGATGCAGGAGATATATGCTCTTGCAGGAGCATTGCATATAAAGCAATCAATTATAAATTTATTATTAGTACCTTTCCAGGTATAGCCATTCTCTGCAAGCTTTTCAGCTTCTTCAATGAAATACTTCAAAAATACTTTAGCTTCTGGAGGTTTTCTATATCCATGAAAAGCTGCAATGATAAATGGTGATTTGTTTTTAAAATTTGTCAAACATCCCAGAATTGGCCATAATTGGCTTTTCGAACTTTTCGTAAGCGGCAATCCATCTATGTTGAAGGACAAATGAATTTCTTCAGGTAGATGTGTAACAGTTCCGCTAGTTTCTATAATATAACGTATGCTTTCTGCAATACCAAAATGAACATATTGCCCATGCGCTATTGAAACAGTTTCCGATTTTCTAGGCGTTTTCAAGAGTGTGCGAACATCTGCGGGAAGAGACTTCATAGCTTTTTCTATTTGCAATACCTGTAATAACTCGGTAACTGCACATTTACAAATATTATTCTTATGGGTCCACTTTACAAGATTTTGCCGCAATCGATTAATATTGATATGATTATCTTCATTCTCCGATTCCAAAGAAGGATCACTATCATATTCATCCGACGATATTAATTCTTCACTGAATCTTTCTTCTTGCAAAGTTTCTAGAACTTCCTCATTTTGAAAAATTTCTTGCATTTCTTCTCCAGCGAAACATTCTTCAGACAAAACGTCTACTCTTTCATCATTATATTCCTTTGAAAGAGAGCTATCGCAACTATAGCGAACATCCGAATGTGATGAATATCCGATTTCGTTGCTTGCATGTAGATAGTCTTCTATGTCGCGTATTGCTTTCTGTGCAAGTCTTCGTTCATATTTCCGATTATATCGCTTTTGTTTTGTCCCCTTCGACATGACTCAGCCAGTCAATATGTATCAAAAAGCTGTATATAGAAAATTTAATTTATAGCATCGATATTATTTTTGCATGCATGTATACGTCCATGACAATATAGAAGAAAATTTACAAAAGCATGCTTGAGATTGCCGTAGGTATAATATAGCATCACAAAAAATATTCACAAAAATATTACATTCTTCACATGTTGCGATATTACTATTTCAAAATAATTTTACGAATGCAATGAAAAATATTACTATCAAAAAAAAGCAAATATATAAACAGTGGAATATGTTAGCTTGTAATTTAACCATACAACCAAATAAAGGAATACTTTATTAGGAGCTATACTAATGTTGTAACTTTATATATTTGAAGTTTCGAACGTTCAGCAAAGGCTTAAAAAGCGTAAAATAATTATAAGCAATATAGAAAAATAAAAACTCGCATACTTTTCGGACAATGATATTGAGGAGAGAGAGAGTTATTGTTTTCTATCTTATTTTATTAATACTAGCATAAAAAGGGATGGTTTTCTATCTTTAGTTTGATTATATTATGTATATATATATATATATATATATATATATATATATATATATATGATTCAGTGAGTAATTATAAAGGTTTTCCCAACTTTTTGCCCTCCTTTTACGACAACCCTACGAAACGTTCGAAACTGTTACTATGTGCTATTTTTAGGTTCGGAAACATGCAGATTAACTCATCACATAACATTAGTGTAAATGAATAGAAAATGTTTTTAGTGCAAGTTTAGTTCTTTTATTCATTTAATATTTAATAATGAAATTTCTGCTTAAAATAAAAATAGCATAAGAAACTGAAATTATAAAATTATCCTGTAAAGAATTTTTGAAGATTTTTAAATATTTTTTGAAGTAAAAATATATTTTTGCTAATATGAATACAATAGTTAGTGAACAATGACAATAAAATAAAAAAATAGCAATAATATGAAAGGATAACAATCGATACAATATCTTTTTTGAGACATTGAAAATGAAATTGTATTATATACTTGGAACTTTATATAACAGGATAGCATACAAACTTCGAATGAAACCCAAAGTTGAACCAAAAGCAATGCTTATTTTATAAGTGTATTAATTTAGAAGTTTCCTATATGTTATGTGACTGCATTAGATCTATGGGACTTCGTTTGGGCAAGTATACATAATGTAACATCTCCTTTAAATTCAGTCAATTTTTTTTATAAGAATATATAATTATCTGGTAATTTAATATTATTTATTATCATATATTTAATATTATTACAAGAATATATGATAAATATGCATTGTGTAAAATAATTGTACGAGTTAAATTAAAATATATAACATTATATCTACACAAACAAAGTCCCCTAGATGTAATGCAGTCACAGAGCATATAAGAAACTTCTAAATTAATGCGTGTATATAAAATACTATTTTATATTCATACAATTTGCATACGATGTTTTCCCTATTGTATAAAGTTTAAAGTATATAATACAATTTCATTTATAATATTGAAAAAAATGATACTTTCATATTATTGTCTTTTTCTATTTCAGTTTCAAAAATTATTTTTATGCCAACAATAATATATTTTCACCTTTAAAAGTACTTAAAAATCTCCACAGATACAAAAAGTCTTTACAGGATACTATTTGAAACATAAGTCTCTGT